AAGGAAATTTCCTGCGAGCACCCAGCCTGAGTGCCAGAGATGCCAATCCTACACAGAGCCTCCACCCATCCTCTCATCCGGGACATCCTCCAAGCATAGAGCAACCTCAAAATGCATCCCCGGGAACTTGGTGCGTCCCAGAAAAGTTTCCCTCAAGCTTGTGCAATACAAAGAGACATTAAAGCAAATAGTCTCAGAGCTGTCAGTGCCAGGCACCGGAGGGGGTACCAGCTGTAGACAGACCCCCGTCCTCTGATCAAACGGCAGACCGCTTCCAAACTCAGTGCAAGCCCGACATATAAGTTCCTTAGGACCCCTCAGCATCAGTACCAGCCACTAGGACTACCCCCCCTACCAGTCACAGTACTCACCCCCATAAAACCCCCCTTACTCACCCTTGGAGGTCATGGTGTCCCCGGGGGTGTCAAAGTGCGCTCCTCTCCACACTCAGGCCGTACGCTCATGTCCTTCCCTCTTCCCCAGGCCAGGCCGGGGCACAGCGCTCACAACCCAGCCGAGCTCCCCTCGCTCTGACCTCCCTCTGGAGGAGCTCAGCCCAGGACCGCGCAAGGCACCACGGAACCTGTAGTCCGCAGAACTGTCATGTGACGCCGGGCAGGAGCTGTTAGAAAGGGTGATTGGGAGGAGCCTGGATGAGCGACTCTTAGAAAGTGGGAGGAGCCTGCAAGGGCAGCTTTGAGGAGTGGGAGGAACTTGCATGGGCGGCTCCGAAAGCGGTGGGAGGAGCCGGCATATGTAGTGCTTTGATAGCAGTGGGTGGAGGCTGCACGAGCGACAGTATGGAATGGGAGGAGCCTGCATGGGTGATGTGGTGCTCATGTGTGACAAGTGTGATGAAGTTGGTACCCCGTTGCTCATAGCAACCTGCTCAAATCTGTCCTTATAATAAATTCAAATAAACGTTTTATCCTATCAGTGAGGAAGTGATTCGGAGCCGTCTTCCTATGGTTATACGTAGCTTTCATGAGCTTCTCATAGCTTGGGGTTAGGGGTTGTCATGACTACCTTGCTGGCGTGCTGGTATCTGTAGTGCCACCTGATAACCAGTAAAGTAGCTTTTCAGGCTTCTATACCAGGGGGGTTGGAAATGCATATTTACACATTTATAAAGCGGTGTGATAATACCGGAACATTCATAAAGCGTTGTACATTTATTTTATTTATTTATTATAGGTATTTATAAAGTGCCGACAATTTCCGCAGCACTTTACATAGTTGCACATTCCCATCAGTCCCTGCCCTCAAGGAGCTTACAATCTAAGGTCCCTATCTCACATACATACATAGAGGGCCAACTTAGAGAGGAGCCAATTAACATACCAGCATTTGGAGTGTGGGAGGAAACCAGAGTAACCAGAGGAAACCCAGGCAAGCACAGGGAGAACATGCAAAACTCCATGCAGATAGTGACCTGGCCAGGATCCAAACCAGGGACCCCCAGTGCTGCAAGGCAGAAGTGCTAACCACTACACCACTGTGCTGCCAAGCTGCCAAGATAACGATAACGATAACGATAACGATAACGATAACCTAACACCCCACACAGCCCACCTAACACCCTGCACAGCCCACCGAACACCCCGCACAGCCCACCGAACACCCCACACAGCCCACCTAACACTCCGCACAGCCCACCTAACACTCTGCACAGCCCACTTAAGAGCCTGCACAGCCCACCTAACACTCCGCACTTCCCACCTAAGACGCTGCACCTCCCACCTAAGAGTCCACACAGCCCACCTAACACTCCGCACTTCCCACCTAAGACCCCGCACAGCCGTCCTAAGACTCCGCACAGCCGCCCTAACACTCCACACAGCCCACCTAAGAGCACGCACAGCCCACCTAAGACCCTGCAGAGCCCACCTAAGAGCCTGACAGCCCACCTAAGACCCTGCACAGCCCACCTAACACTCCGCACTTCCCACCTAAGACCCCGCACAGCCGTCCTAAGACTCCGCACAGCCCTCCTAACACTCCACATAGCCCTCCTAAGACCCTGCAGAGCCCACCTAAGACCCTGCACAGCCCACCTAAGAGCCCGCACAGCCCACCTAAGACCCTGCATATATTTACACATTTATAAAGCGGTGTGATAATACCGGAACATTCATAAAGCGTTGTACATTTATTTTATTTATTTATTATAGGTATTTATAAAGTGCCGACAATTTCCGCAGCACTTTACATAGTTGCACATTCCCATCAGTCCCTGCCCTCAAGGAGCTTACAATCTAAGGTCCCTATCTCACATACATACATAGAGGGCCAACTTAGAGAGGAGCCAATTAACATACCAGCATTTGGAGTGTGGGAGGAAACCAGAGTAACCAGAGGAAACCCAGGCAAGCACAGGGAGAACATGCAAAACTCCATGCAGATAGTGACCTGGCCAGGATCCAAACCAGGGACCCCCAGTGCTGCAAGGCAGAAGTGCTAACCACTACACCACTGTGCTGCCAAGCTGCCAAGATAACGATAACGATAACGATAACGATAACGATAACCTAACACCCCACACAGCCCACCTAACACCCTGCACAGCCCACCGAACACCCCGCACAGCCCACCGAACACCCCACACAGCCCACCTAACACTCCACACAGCCCACCTAACACTCTGCACAGCCCACTTAAGAGCCTGCACAGCCCACCTAACACTCCGCACTTCCCACCTAAGACGCTGCACCTCCCACCTAAGAGTCCACACAGCCCACCTAACACTCCGCACTTCCCACCTAAGACCCCGCACAGCCGTCCTAAGACTCCGCACAGCCGCCCTAACACTCCACACAGCCCACCTAAGAGCACGCACAGCCCACCTAAGACCCTGCAGAGCCCACCTAAGAGCCTGACAGCCCACCTAAGACCCTGCACAGCCCACCTAACACTCCGCACTTCCCACCTAAGACCCCGGACCGCCGTCCTAAGACTCCGCACAGCCCTCCTAACACTCCACATAGCCCTCCTAAGACCCTGCAGAGCCCACCTAAGACCCTGCACAGCCCACCTAAGAGCCCGCACAGCCCACCTAAGACCCTGCACAGCCCACCTAAGACCTTGTACAGCCCACCCAAGACCCTGCACAGCCCATCCTAACACCCTGCACTTCCCACCTAAGACACTGCACAGCCCACCTAAGAGCCTGCACAGCCCACCTAACACTCCACACTTCCCACCTAAGACGCCGCACAGCCGTCCTAAGACTCCGCACAGCCGTCCTAACACTCCACACAGCCCACCTAAGAGCACGCACAGCCCACCTAAGACCCTGCAGAGCCCACCTAAGAGCCTGACAGCCCACCTAAGGCCCTGCAGAGCCCACCCAAGACCTTGTACAGCCCACCTAAGACCCTGCACAGCCCACCTAAGACCCTGCACAGCCCACTTAAGACCCTGTAGAGCCCACCTGAGGGCCCACACAGCGCACTTAAAGGGTTATTAAACTCTCAGCTTTTTTTTGCAAATATCTACTGCTAGCAAGCTAGGAAAACAACTGCAAAAAAGAAGATCGGATTAAGAAACATAATTTAAGGTAAGTGCTTACACTAGCATTGAGGGGAGGGAAAAATTACTTTAATGTCACTTTAAGACCCTGCACAGCCCACCTAAGACCCAGCACAGCGCACCTAAGATCCTGCATAGACAACCTATGAGCCGGCACACCCCACCTAAGTCCCTGCACAGCCCACCTAAGTCGCTGCACAGCCCACCTACGACCCTGCACAGCCCACCTAAGTCGCTGCACAGCCCACCTACGACTCTGCACAGCCCACCTACGACTCTGCACAGCCCACCTACGAGCCTGCACAGCCCACCTACCCTGCACAGCCCACCTACAAACCCGCACCGCCCACCTGAGAGTCCACACAGCCTTTTGAGAGCCTATACAGCCAACCTGAAAGCCCGCACAGCCCACCTGAGACCCTGCACAGTCTTATGAGACCCTCCACAGCCCACCTGAGACCCTGCAGACATCAGGCCACCACCCCGGAGCAATACACAATATGTAGCTTCATATTATTCTGCATTGCTTTATAATGTATTGCTGAGATTTGTAGTCCTCTATAGATGGTGGTATTCTGCACGGCTATATAATGTATTGCTGAGATTTGTAGTCCTCTATAGATGGTGGCATTCTGCATTGCTATATAATGTATTGCTGAGATTTGTAGTCCTCTATAGCTGGTGGTATTCTGCACGGCTATATAATGTATTGCTGAGATTTGAAGTCCCTCTACAGCTTGGAGTCAGTGGCAGAACTACTAAGATTGCAGAAGTTGCGGCTGTGATTGGCACTGGCAGTCCACCACTGTCGTAAAAATCATTAATCATCAAAAAAACAGTCACATGACACTAAAAAAAGGTATCGGCAATTGGTATTGGAGAACACTTGAGGAAAAGTATCGGTACTATAACCCTATACTCGGTCTGGGAAAAATGGTATTGGCGCATCCCTAGAAACAAATAATAATAATGACCAAAAAATAAATGGAGACAATGAAAATGTATCCCCTCACATTGAGGATGTGTAATGCTGACCAGTGGAGATGGACCCCTTTACTTTGGTGGTCAGTGTCCCAGATCCCTCTGTCCCTCCTCTGGAACCAGATCCCTCTGTCCTCCTCAGTACCCAGATCCCTCTGTCCTCCTCAGTACCCAGATCCCTCTGTCCTCCTCAGTACCCAGATCCCTCTGTCCTCCTCAGTACCCAGATCCCTCTGTCCTCCTCAGTACCCAGATCCCTCTGTCCTCCTCAGTACCCAGATCCCTCTGTCCTCCTCAGTACCCAGATCCCTCTGTCCTCCTCAGTACCCAGATCCCTCTGTCCTCCTCAGTACCCAGATCCCTCTGTCCTCCTCAGTACCCAGATCCCTCTGTCCTCCTCAGTACCCAGATCCCTCTGTCCTCCTCAGTACCCAGATCCCTCTGTCCTCCTCAGTACCCAGATCCCTCTGTCCTCCTCAGTACCCAGATCCCTCTGTCCTCCTCAGTACCCAGATCCCTCTGTCCTCCTCAGTACCCAGATCCCTCTGTCCTCCTCAGTACCCAGATCCCTCTGTCCTCCTCAGTACCCAGATCCCTCTGTCCTCCTCAGTACCCAGATCCCTCTGTCCTCCTCAGTACCCAGATCCCTCTGTCCTCCTCAGTACCCAGATCCCTCTGTCCTCCTCAGTACCCAGATCCCTCTGTCCTCCTCAGTACCCAGATCCCTCTGTCCTCCTCAGTACCCAGATCCCTCTGTCCTCCTCAGTACCCAGATCCCTCTGTCCTCCTCAGTACCCAGATCCCTCTGTCCTCCTCAGTACCCAGATCCCTCTGTCCTCCTCAGTACCCAGATCCCTCTGTCCTCCTCAGTACCCAGATCCCTCTGTCCTCCTCAGTACCCAGATCCCTCTGTCCTCCTCAGTACCCAGATCCCTCTGTCCTCCTCAGTACCCAGATCCCTCTGTCCTCCTCAGTACCCAGATCCCTCTGTCCTCCTCAGTACCCAGATCCCTCTGTCCTCCTCAGTACCCAGATCCCTCTGTCCTCCTCAGTACCCAGATCCCTCTGTCCTCCTCA